GTGTTGGTTATTACCTTTAAAGCCCTACGTGGCATGGGACCAGGTTACGTAAGGGACTGCCTCTCCCCTATGACTTCAACCCATTCCACCTGATCACACAGAGAGGGCATGCTTTGGACCCCCTCAGTACTAAACTTTGATTAGCAGGGTCCAGAAGGCGGACCTTCTCTGTGGTAGCCCCCGCTCTTTGGAACATTCTGCCCCCGGAGGTGCGATTGGCCCCCTCACTCCGGGCCTTCCAAAGGGCTTTGAAGACCTGGTTCTGTCACTTGGCCTGGGGTGGGGAGGGAATATTTCAAGCAGGGGGATGGCTAGCTAGTCCTCAGCCCGATTTTCCATCTTCTTGGATTTTCCTTTTTTAGTACTGTTTTTAAATGTTAGATGTATTATGTATTTTATATATATTTATGGTTTTAATGTGTTTTGTAAGTTGCCCAGAGTCCCCCATTGGAGGGAGATGGGCGGGGCAGAAATGTAATTAAATAAATAACAATAGTCCCCTTAAATCATTGCACGTATTTTACGGAACTTAAAAATAGAAGCCCATGTCCCATTTCTCATGTTACATTTATGTATAAATATAAGCTTTCTTGCAAGTATTGATATTGTCTGAAATTAAGGCTTATTTTGGGCTTCAAGAAACATTTGATGAATGAGAATAGGAAGGACTGATGGTCATTGTGCTTCTATTCAACTTGGATTGCTTCTTAGGTGTGTGATGAAGATGGACCACCACTGTCCTTGGATTAATAACTGCTGTGGATTTCAGAATCATGCCTCCTTTACTCTCTTTCTTCTGCTAGCCCCTCTGGGCTGTATCCATGCTGCTTTCATTTTTGTCATGACCATGTATACTCAGCTTTATAACAGGGTAAGAAAACACTGTTTTGCTTCTCTTAAACATATGCAGAATTGAATGAATTCACCTTTGGAAGAACAACCTTCATAATTCTACCCTATCTTACACTTAACATCAAATAACATTGTTGTATGTCTTGATACTGACAGCCTGGAACTCTTTTGAAGGTTGTGGCTTTTGCTTTATGTCCTTCATTCTTTCCTCACCTGACCCAGAAGTTAGTCATCTCTTCACATATACAGCATATTTCATGAGGCTAATCTAAAGCAGAGTATGCCTTAAAGGGTAGGCAAAGTACTTTTCTTTAGAAATTGCACTCTGAACTACCTTTCATATCTGCCCTTCCATCGTTGATAATGGATTGTGGATAATGTCATTCAACTAAGTTGATTAGTCCATTTTAAAACACCCTATAAAATTAGGAACCATTAAAAATATAATATATTAAAGAAACTTAGAACTTGTGTTGAATTCACTTCTCTCTTTCAGAATACTTAGCTTTAAATCCAAAATTACCTATGAGTCTGGTATAATATGTCTGTCACCCATTCATGTCTAACAAATCATGTTTCCAATAAATCAAATATGTCTTTCAGGTAAGATACAACTTTTGGCTTAGGCATGTCTTGTGGAAACAACTTAGGTTGAAGATTGAACTTGTGCCAATATACGGTTATGTCTAGAGAGTTCCTGTGAGGAGCTGGCCACTTACCAAATTCCTTCTCTTTTTTTGTTTCCTTTCAATAGGTTTCCTTTGGCTGGAGTTCTGTGAAAATTGATATGAGTGCAGCCAGGAGGGATCCCCATCCAATAATTCCTTTTGGGTTGTCTGCATTTGCTGCATCTTTATTTGCCTTGGGACTGGCATTAGGGACTACTCTAGCTGTTGGAATGTTGTTTGTTATCCAGGTGAGCCAGATACAGAGCTGTGAGATTTTCTGGTGCTCAAAGGATGGGGACAGTTCTCAGTGCCTTATAGCATCTTATTGTTTTCTCTTATTTCTGAGCTCTTTTTCTGAATTTCTGGCATATATACAATGTATTTCATAATCTTGACCACGCAGAATTATGATTAGGGAGACCTGCAGGGGGCAGAGATGGAGTCTTTCTACTGATGATCAGTTGTGCAATAGAGGAAGCACATGCTTTCTTTACACAAGAGGGAGATAACTGTGTATAGAGTTAAACTTAGAACTATTTTATCTCTTAAATAGCTTTTTTCCCCTTTCAAATGCTCATCAATAACAAAGTCTTTATGTATGTAAGTGTGTGTGTGTGTGTGTGTGTGTGTGTGTGTGTATTTGTTGGTGTGTGTGAGAGAGAGAGAGAAGTAGAGAGGGGTTAAGATGTAGAAATCAGCTAAGATCCTGTTGGAATTTCAAAGAAGTCAAAACAAATTTGTAGCAGGATTCATTTTTTTTCTTTTTGAGTCACTCAAAGTGCATGTGTATGTGTACAAAATTACAAATGTTCACGTAAGTTTGATCGTTCCTTATTTGATCTGTGCTTTGAGTCAGTTCAGTGATTTGAAGTTTTGATTTGAAAGGATAATTTAATGGAACTGCTTCACATGGCCCTAATGTAGATGTGTTATATGTATGACTATGCTGTCCTATCAGCTAAGACTTTCCTGCCATTCTGTACTTCTTGGAATAGGTAACTGGCCACTGCTTCTTGAATATATTCATACTCATATCCTTTTTTTTTAAAGCTATCCTCACCCACTTCCACTTTTTTTAACTGCAAGTTTTTGCACGCTACACAAGACTTCAGTACAACTCTTGACCTCAAGTGGTCTCCCACTTCCGATATAAAAAACACTGCTCTCATGGGCATGGGCCGTGCTTAATTGGCTGCCATGGTTTTTGCTCCATTGTAACCTTTCAGCAACAAAAGCCATGTAGATTGGACTCCATGCATTCATAATAGAACTGGATTCCCTCTTCCTTTCTTTATATATTTATTCCTCATTTTTAAAGTGAAAATATCAGTAAAGGGAAGGGCACAGTGTTAAGAAAAAGGGGGACATTTAGGAAGGTAGTAAAATGACAATGATTCTTTTCTTCCCCCTATTTAATTACATTTTTATAAATTAGTACATTGTATTTGTTACAGTATTAATTGAAGATTATTGACACTCTGTTGTTTAGATGACTTAGATTATTGGAAATAGAGAAAAGAGAAAGAAGTATTCTATCAATATTAATTACAATTTAGGGTGTCAATATTACAAGCATAAGATTATTTGACTTTTTCATCCAGAATTAAGTATAACATTAGAGAAGAAAAACCCTCTGCAGATTGCATCAAAGTATTTGTTGGACAATAAAGGTTTCGGTCTTGAGCTATTACTTAGTATTAAGGTCTACATTGTATTGTTACTTAATATACTCTCTCTCTCTCTCTCTCTGTATATGTACATATGTATGTATATGTTTGTGTATGTATGTTAAAAGGAAAAAATAGATAGGCAAAGCAAATTTAACAAGAATTAAAATACCAAGAAAGAAGAAAAGAAAAACTATTGAGTTTCTAACTTTCCCCTTTTTTTACATCTGCTAATTACAATATTTGTAGATATTTAGGCCCCCTTAGAAGCCAGACTGTAAGTGATTATATTTGCCATGCTATGTATTATATTGTGTGTATGGGAATCATTCTTGCTTAAACTTGATTAAATTTGATCTATTCTGTATATATAGTGTTAGTTTTGCCATTGCTGCATATTCTCCAAGTTTAAGTTCTCAGTCAAATATTGTATCTTTCTTCCAGTGTTGGGCAAAATTTATTTTCACTGCTATAAGGATATATTTCATTGAATTATTTTTCTTGTTGATTTTTTATGAGATTATACCTGGTAAGAAAAGTTGTGGTTTCGTTTAAAATTATTCTTTATCATCCCCTTAAGATAGAACAGATGTTGAGATTTATTGTTCTGAACCTGGTGTTCTGGAGAAACAAAAACTTATACCGCCAAGAGTTTTTAGTAGTAGCTTCTTCTCATTTGAGCAGCACAATGGAAGACAGTCATGCTATGGGTGATTTATGTCTGAAAGCAGTAGTATGGGAGGGAAGGATTTTGCTGGTGTAACACAAGAAAGGAAGGAAGTGATGGTCTCCTTTAGATTCAGATGTAACAGAAGAGTTCAGATGCACAATAATGAATAATAAGACAGGTAAATGAAGTCCTGAGATTGCTTACAATTTAACCAAAGACATGGGGTGATAGAGTAACAGGGGGATGTGTGTATGTTACAAATTCCATATCCTTCCCTGGGATTTTCACTCTCAAAAATTAAAAATAGACACTAGTGTCACCTGTGGAAATGTAGGTTCTTGCATTTATGCGTATTTGCCATTCTTCCACCTTGCCATTTAAGAAATCAAGACTGGAAGTTGGTGGTTCATCTAGTTCAGGAATAAAAAATAAATGGGGCACTGAATGAATGGAGTGGATATAACAGAACTCCACAGAGTGTACTGAGCCCAGAAAATAACATTTGCTTGTTTATTATTTGCAGAGACTTTTACGGTATATTGCTTGAGTTATTCGGATTATAAACAGTACTTTTAAGGTCTCCTATTCTCCAATTTTTCAATACAGTGCTCTGAATAACATTTTGGTGGAATTAGTTTCTGTTTCCTCACTTGATGCATTTGTAGTCATGAGTTAATGTTTGTAATTTTTTTAGATGAAAGTCATCTTAAGGAATAAAACTTCAATAGAATCATGGATTGAAGAAAAGGTAAAAAGTCATTATTCTAATGCAGTATTCAAATCTATATTATGCCACAGAGGTAGTAGTCTGTGGTAGATGTTGCTAAACAGCAAAGTGTTGTATGCTGTTTCCTGTTTATGTGATTTAACCACAGCCAGGACCTTATGCAGCCTTTTCATACATTTTCTAAGATCCTCAAACAGGAGAAGAATCTAGCACATGTGATCTCCATTGCCTTTTAAATGTTGGGTTTACCTGTAGGCCAAATTGAACAATTCTTTAAATTATTCACTTCTCTTGGCTCATAATAAATCTGTTCTTTTGTATTTTTCAAATTCATAATTTTATGTTTGGCAATTGCAGCATTTAATTCAAGCTTCATTTAAGCTTCTATGTCTTAAGAAACTACTCACTAGAGAGAGAGGCTTGATGGAAGAGATTTTTGCCAATTAAACAGCCCCCTGATATTTAGATGTGAAAATCACATTATTTTTTTATTAGAACAGTGTGTTTTTCTCTGTTTATATCTTTCCACATGAAACATATTCTCTAAGGTCACAGTTAAAACAACCACTATATAATTTTCTTCATTGAATTAATCCAGCCATTGTTACATGACAATCATCATTTATAGCAGCATATTTTGCAAATCCAGCCAATTGTAGTTTATTCGGTAGGACATGGTTAAGCAAACAATGGTTTTGCATAAAAGTAGTTTCTGGCTACTTTTACTGGTGAGGTCTCTCCACTCAAGTGCACATGTAGAAAGTCAGAAAGACAACTGTCTCCTCATACCCTCTAATGAAGAATGTAACAACCACTGATGTCAGTGTTGTCCAAACTTGGCCACTTTAAGATGAGTGGACTTCAACTCCCAGAATTCC